CAATTGGTTCCCAAGTATGACTCCGGAGTTAACGATAAGATTAATAATAATTGCATTTTTATATATTGGGTTCCCTTCTTTTGTAACCCCTATAACACGCTTAATGTTAATAAGCAATTAATGGACATTCCGTTTGTCTATAATAGTGATAATCTAATCAATTAAAACTATTTATTACACTTATATATTATATAATTATTAGATTGTTATTGAAATAAATAAAGACATCATAATCCTATGAATTAATATTTTTTATTATTTTCCATTTGCAGCCCTTATAATCCAATCTACTATTTCTACTAATAACACGACTTCATTTAACACTTTGTTTTTTGGCATTTAATTAACATTTTAATACTTTTGTTAACAAAACTCATTTCATTATATAAGTCTAACATTTGTGTGTTTTCTTTAATAGTTACTAATCTTTGTGTGGTTTTCATTACAATTAAATAAAATATTTAAATAGCATTTAGAAAATAGTGTTTTATTAAAGATAACAATATCTTCAGTCTCTTCTGTCTCTCCACGAGCTCTAACAAAAGGTCTTCATCTGATGCTATCTCTAATACATTCAAATAATCACTTATTGTCATCATTTGTTTCATTGAGTTTATTATGTTTTATGTCCAAAATATTCAATTTGTTGACCATTTCTGGTGATAATTCTGTTCATTAATGGAATTAATTGAATATTACCAATATTTTCAATAAATCTATACCTTCTTTGGGAATAAATTTGAGAGCCTCTGAAGATATTCAAAAGCGAGACTTTCCCTCTGGCCCCTCATTGACCAACTCATGTCCTAAACCATTACCACATTTACCACACGTTATCTAAATATTTTTAAAAATATCTATTCATTATCTAAATTGTGTTTCAATTGTAAATTATGATACACTTTAAAAGCAAATCTTCCGACAAATCCTTCGCCTAAATCTCGTTTTCGTTGAACACTTGCATCGAGTAGTGTCTCAGAGAATGCGGGCCACGGGCTGTGGTGTCTGTATTTGGACACTGAAGTGAACAACTCGTGATCAGTCCTGAGCTAGAAGTGTTCACTTTTCCCATTAACAAACAATGTTACTCTTTTTAGTCATTTATAGGCTAAACTTTTGTCATTTAGCC